TTATTGATTATTATTTATTTCATTTTAATTAATTTTATTTTAATTTCATTTAGTCCTTATATAAGATGAGTATTATGCGACTTATCACTGTATAGTGTTTAATCGTCATATATTATAACTTATGTAAACATTAATATTCGTTGTAATTTTTATAATATTAATAACATAATAATTAAGCACCATGAAGTGATAAGATGCATGATGCTCATCTCTAGCTATTAGTTGTTAGTTGTTATGTATTAATTTAATTATATTATTTTTTCACAGATATTATAATATGCTACAATAAAAACTTTATAGATATATTGTTTAGTAATAAATGAAATAACAATAAAGTTAAAAGTATAGATCTATCAAAGAATTTAGATGTCGAGCACCCGTTCTTTCAAGACCTTTATAGTGTATATGCTGATTATTTGAATTCTAGGACTTTACTAGTTAATAGACATTTAGAATTTTATAATTCAATCACTTATACTGTTCTTGAAAGTGATCAAGATTCACTTCGGTTAAAATTTAGCGTTGGTGATATTGTGGAACTATCAGAGGAGACTGAGAGTATTGCATATGCCAAAATTGAATCAATTTTTTGACACCAAGCAAACAACAGTCAATACCATGTATTTTTTTTGTTAAACTGGTTTCAAGCAACGAATAAACTCAATCCAGTCTTGAAATATCCACTTTACAATATTTAGAAGCCTGAAGAATCATGTTGGTTTTGAATTTTTCTGATTAATTTGATAGATCATGTTCTATGTGTGCATTTTGTACACAATTGTACAAATACATGCATAATTAAGCATAACGAAACTAATCGAAGTTATATTTTAAACAAGTTTTATTATAATGCAGTATAAATTAAAATATAATTCTATTGTATATATATCTTTAGCTTTTAAATTAGATGTTTGATTTTTAATTATTCGTTTTATTATATGTATTATATTTATTTATTCAAAAGTGCATATTATATTTTAATCAGTATAATATTACTGATCGATAATAAAAAACAATTTTACATCAATATCTATTATATTGACTCTTTCGCAAATTTTTTATTACAATAACAACTATTATTGCTAGTATTTTGAATAGATATTCTATTTGTAATATTTTTGGAAAGGTTTTATTAGTCACATTAAAATTTTGTTAGAAACTTGCATTTCGTAAGATGAATTTGTCTATTAAAATTATATCAAGTTCTGGAAAAATCATCAGTTAAATTTGCATAACACTTGGTACGAGACGTAACTTGGATAACTTTAAAAAACAATATTTGTCTATCCATTTTTAGCCTATTGATGTTGAGAATCCGAATCTTTACTGTTACAAGATTACCTGATTTTAAATTTAACATATGTAGACATTTTTAGTTTTAGATTGACGAATAACAGCATTCAATAAAACAAACTTAGTTTCATAGTTATTTTTATCTGATTAAACATTCAATTTCAACTTTAAGGTATTAAAAACTTAATAACTAAAGTTTGGGTTTTCATGTTTACTTGCTGTTTTTGTAAAATGGCTATACAATGATTGTATTTTGAATAATCTATTATTTCTTTCAATTATTTATATAATTTTTCAAAAGTTTGAAGTGAAGCAAAAAACTAATAAAGTATTCAAAGCCCATATTGTAAAAAAAAGTTTATATATATAAAATATTACATTAAAATTTGATATATATTATATTTGAATCGATAAAAATTTTAACTCGAAATATTAACGTTAATATCAGTTTTTCTGAAAAATTTATAGATCATGTACTAATCTGTGATTGGCCAGTTCTTGTGATCTATAAATATACATTTTCACACTTATGTAAAATTTCATTTCCAACATTTTAATTAGTGCACTAAAGTTGATTAAAATACTAGTTTCTTTAACAGTTTAATGTCTACTATGCTTTATTTTTTGGAATTACTATTCGTTGTTCTGACTTCGCTCCTTACAGCATGTTATTAGCTTTTGAAGTTCTTCTAATTTCTTTGCATTTTCGCACCAT